GAGAGAGAGAGAGAGAGAGAGAGAGGCAAAGTGTGCCGTTGGGTGCAGAGGCCAGCTGGCAGATTTACTAATGCAGTGAATCGGAGTCACAGTTAGCTCCAGGGTTCGTACCTTCTTCATTCTTTCCCGCACCCCGTCGACTGGCTGCGACCACCCTGCACCTTTCTGATTCTCCAGGTGGGCCGTCTGCAGTGCTTATTCCAGCTCCTCGGTCCATACCGACATTCTGGTAATCTGTACTTTACTAGTATGGATATTTTGATTTATTACAGCACACGGCCAAGCTCACATATTGCCAGGCCCCATCAACATCTAAAGTATAGTAGATCTTGCGAAAACAAATACTTCTTTCTTTTTCAGCGTCCCTTCCTGTCTCTCGAGGGATTCATGCTCCAACATGGGTGTGCGTGCCGCTGCCTAGGGGCCAGTCTTTTTGTCAAGGTCAGGAGAGGCTCCAGGCTCCAGCGCCCCCTCCCCCCCCGGAGCATCATAGATTCATACCTCCTAAGCGGCGTATGTTATACTCACCCTCTTTTCGGTGATACCTTTACCTCCTCGCTTCTCTCGGCTGTCCATCCCTCCTTTGCAGTGTCCGAGCGTTTCCTTCCTCGGGTTCCTGACTCTTGATCCTCTGCCTTGTCGGGTCCTTGGCAAGTTTCTCCCGCATGCGTAGTCCTACTCGTCCTCGTACTCTGCCCATGTTAGAGCTGCAGCCCTCTGAAGACTCTGCTCATCGATGATGATGTCGCCTTCGCCGGCGGCTAGGTCGGGCAGTCGGAGGAAACGTAGATTGAACTCGAGGACTAAAGGAGCGCCGGACACCTTATACTCTAGCGGGCATCCTGTAGCTTCTCGAATCGTTATTGCTTGTCGAAGGATAGGTGCAAGATCACCCTGGGCGAAGCGAGTCGTTGTCGCACCTGGACGTTGGACAGCCACGGGCCCTTCGGCGTACTTTTCAACCAAGATGCTACGGTTATTTCGGTAGAGCTTGACCAGGATCACGATCTTGACAGCATGCTCCGACTCGTGAAACCATAGGCGCATTACCGTCCTCAGGCTCTCGAGCGACTGTGAGCGGCCTACCTCGATCGCGAGGGTAGGCCACCTGCGTAGCTTGCCCCCTGCGAGTATAGCGGCGCCGGTGTAGTCTCCCTCTTTGGCTACGCCGCTTGGCGCTCTGTGAGTCGCCGCCTCCTGAGTGTGCCAGCTCTCATCGACGTTCATCCGTATCATCTCTCTGTCGATTGCGGCGTGGATGAGGTTGTGAAAGCTCTCGTGTGCTTCCGTAGGCACTGTGACAAAAAAGTGGGCCTCGATCCTTGTTTGGCTGGTAGGTGAATCTGATATGAGAGGACTCGCCCCTCTCCTCATCGATCTTGGTGAATTGTTTCGGAGAGACATTGGTGAAGATCAAGAAGTCCTCTTCATTATCAGCTCGGTTCGCCAATGTCTCGAAAAGCGTCACGACGTCGATATATGGCGTGGGTGAGGAGGCATCCATTCTGTCTTGCGTGTATCTCTTGGATCCGGTGATGAGCAGAGTATCGAGGAGGAATCGTCGGGAATGATCTGAATGGACGAGTCGCTAGGGCTGGTGAGGTGGGTGAGGTTAGAAGGAAGGTTGGTAGGAAGGAGGGTGTAAGCCATGTCGTGGTTTGTTGTCACGTTATCGGTTATAGAGGTACCCCTTCCTAAGGAGGTGGCCACTTCTTCCTCCAGACCTCAACGCTGAGGATTCCACGAGGCTGGGAAAGCTGCTCTCGTTCTCAGCTATCTGCGAGGGAAGCAAGGCGAAGCGCAAGCACTGCCCATGGCGTCTAGAGGCCGAGTGTCTCTCCATCCGAGTATGCCCAGCTTGGTGCTCATAGACCCAAGCCGGGCGGCCATTGGGAGCGGAAAGAAGAACTGCACAGCAACGCCAGCCCCTAGTGGCACCGTCATCAGACAAGGTCGTCTCTATCTCGAGGATTTCAATCTGCCATCACTGCCTCTATACCGTGATGTAGGTAACAGCCCTTACATCGTCGACTTGTATCATACGATAACTCTCAAGCGCATCACATAGAGTCGCCTAGATCGCTCGGCTTCACATGTTGCCTGTCGAACTGATGAAGCCAGGGGAAAATTAGCAGCTACCGCCCTGCACAGGTAACCGCATGAGTAGCGGGATGAATATATTAAGTGTCCTAAGCTAAGATCATGTTCGCCAGCCATGTCGGCATTTTTCGCACGCACCAACCACATCAAACCGTGGTCTCGCGTCAATGGTCGTTTGCTAAATCAATCTCGCTAGACTCGCGCGGTGTTCAAAGCGATACAGCAGGCCGATAGGTACAGTTTCTTGGCCATGCCTGTAGCTTCGATGTCCACCTCTTGGGATTGGTGAGCGCCTGATGCGAAAACTAGGGGGTGTATCGTGAGAGCAACCGTACAGAAGAAAAGGATGATACTTGGAGGATGGAAGTTGGGAGTACATCTGATTCCTCTAGAAGCAGGGTCGAACTATGACCCAGACTGGCACAAGTGACCAGGATCTAGAGGAATCAGAAAGCTGCGCCCGTGGTAGCATCACACACATTCCATTTGGCATAATAACATCTTCTCTGGGCTTGTATCCCTCCCTTTTGGGTATACGCCCCTTTTGAGTAGTAAATATCGGTTGCTTCCCTCCTCTTCCATGCTTGAACAAACAACGTAACATTTGACAACGCCTTGACGAAATAAACGAGTCCGGATGGATAAAAGAAAATATAAAGAAGAACAGATGAAAAAAAAAAAGCTTCCACGGCTGCTACGGTCTGTGGTTCCGTACTCCATGGTAATAATATATAATGAAAAAAAAAACGTATAACATGAATGAACGCCCCATCCAGTTGGTCGGTTAGGTCGTTCTCAGCAGGCGGCGGATAGTAATAGTACCTCTCTCTGACCAGCTTCATCTCGGGGGTCCACCATCCCCCGGCTTCCACTGAGACGTAGCCCATCCCGTCTCGTAGTTTCGCGGCTGCATAGGAATCCACTGTCCCGTCCTCGGATCCTGCTCAAACGTAGGGCCGCTGTATCCCGATGGCGGAGGATGCGACGGGTGCTGTGACGGGTGGTGCGATGCGTGCTGAAGCGGCGGCGGCGGCGGCGGCGGCGGCGGATGATGATGGTGTGGCGATGGCCCCCCTCCTCCCTCGATCGACCGTAGCGGAGGTAGTCTATCCGAGCCCCCCAATCCCATCATCCCCGCAGGTCCAGCGGGGCCTGTCGGTCCCGATGGAGAGGAAGCGGGCAAGGGGAGCGGCGGACCGTACGTGGTGGACCCCTGAACGGGCGTGTGAGCCGCCGACGTCGCGGCCGACGGCGTCCCGTACGGCGGAACAGACGTCTCGGACCTGTCTTCTAGCAGTCGGGGACGTTGCGCAGGTCGCCGCTGCCGGTCCATGAGGGAGTCCTCGCTGCTGTACTCGCGCAGCGAGGTGTGCACTATGCGCTGCTGGAAGACCGGGCTGGGTGGGCCGGAGGCGAGGTCGGCTATGGACGGCGTCGCGCGGATAATATCGCGCAGGCGGTTGCGGTCGTCTCTGTAAAAGTCCCGCTGGGCCGTCATCTCCTCGGCGTGGAGCTCCATCTCCTCCCTCTGCTCGCGAAGGTTTTGCAGCTGCCGTGCGCTCTCCTCCTGCATGGCTTTCCGCTTGCGGCGGTGCCGTGTCGATGCCTTTGCGTTCCTCTGTCGCTTCTCGTCCGCCTTCTTCGACGCCTGCGAGTAGTCCACGTGGATGGGGATCGGGGCACCGCTTCCCGGCAGCGTCATGAAGGCCTGCTGACCCTCGCGAGCCATTCCCGCTGCTGCGCCGAACCCAGATCTCTGCTGCTGTGCGTCTTCGACCCACGTCGGCGGTCCCAGCTCCCCGATGGGCGTGCCTTCCGCCGACGACGAGGCTGGCGGGAGCTGCGGTCGGCCGTACCCTTCCGGGTGGTGCTGCCTCGGGGGACCGTGTACGGGCGAGAGGGCTGCCCGGCCGTGAAGGTCTGCGAGATGCCTAGGAGTGTGGGGGACTGGTGAGCCAGCGTGGGGAGGGGCCACGGTAGGTTGAGAGAACGATCGCGGCATCGGTGCCGGTGGCAGATGGGGCGTTTGCGCGCCTCCTAGGGGGTGTCGACGGCCCGTGGGAAATCTTCCTTGCGCATCGTCTTGGTCTGGCTCGAAGGGTCGTTTGGCGGGTGATGCGCTCGGGGTCCGCGGTGCTTGTCGGGAGGCTGGTTCTCGGAGAGGCGCTCCCATAAAGCTGGTGGTCGATACTCGAGTCATCCTCGGGCTTGCAAATCGTCTCGGGTTTACCGCCTCGTGGGCTGCATAGCTCTGATGCGCCTCCCTCTGGGCGTCAGGTGCCCCTCGATGCGCTGAAAAGGATACGAGGGGCAGGGCCGGGGCCCTCGGCTGTGACTCAGCGTCATCTTGTCCTTGAAAATAGGGGACGGGTAAGGCATGGAGGGGTTTGGGGGGGGACTGTGACGCGTCCCCACGCCCTCTTGTGCGGGCAACGTGTAATGACGGCCCTCCGGCGGGCAGAAATCGAGGCTGCTCTGCCGAGTTGAGAATGTTGGCAACACCAAGCACCCTCGATGGAGGAAGCTGCTGAGGCTGGTGGAGCTCCCCGCCGGGAGCAGCAGGGTGGACTATCGATTCCGGCCCATGGTAGTGACCATTCCCCCCTTCGCTGGGCTGGGTCGCCACTACTCGTGCGGCACCGGTAGACTGGGAATCTTGATCACGGTGCGGAGGTGCGCCTGCGGTTGTGTGGCTGGGAGTGACGGGTACCGGAGGAGCACCCTTTTCCGACATCGAGACCCGATCCCCTTTGACTTTTCGGTCGACAGGGCTGCAGCATTGAGCCTTGCCGACTCCAGGGGGTGTGCGGTGCAGGCCTTCGTTCCTAAGCGAGGGCAGGGCGAGGGCAGCCGAGGGACAGTTGGGCGTGGGTGGCGTCCCGGGAGAGGCCGGACTCGTGGCGGTTGTGACTGAGTCGGTGATGATGGATTCTGGGCTTCCCCTTCCAGAACACGCCTGCTGCCACAGGCCAGACGATGGGGAATCCAGGATGAGGGCTTCTACCAGGCAGGAGGGGACAAGCTGGGCTCCAAAAGACCCAAACCGTCCCGTTCTGCTGCGAACTCGTGGTAGTAGTACTCGTGGTAGACTCAATCAAGCCGAGGGTGGGGGGCGGGGAGAGAATGGGAATGCCTCGGTCCTCCTCCTCTTGCTGACCTGTAGATAGGGAACATATATCAGCATCAGAGTCTCTGTTCATACAGTCGTGTTTCTCCAAGTCCGGGTCTAGGACGGTTTGTCGGTTCCTTACCACGCACGTGCTGCGGACGAAAACCGGAGTGGCAAGTGACGTGCCTTTTAACAAGAGGTCGTGAGAAGTGATTCCGATCTGCGTGAACTTGGCGTCGTTTCGTCGGGCTCTTGTGCCAGATATATGCAAGAGTGTGGGACCCCCAGAAACAATACGCTAATAGGTACTATTACACGACCAGGGTGACAGGGCCAGGCAGGTTTGAGAAATGATGCGCGCGAGTGCTTTCACCACCAGGTCGACAGCCGAGTTACCTGCGGGCGTTTAGGGGGGGGAGAAGGCTGGTGCTGCTGCTGAAGGGGGCGGTGGTGGGAGAAGCGGACGGGTGTGGTAGCTACACTGTGACAGACTGCGTCAGATGCGACCACTCATACTCCCCGAGAAGATCCTTGGCAAGTGAATGGCCAGGAAAGCATCTAGAGTCGCTCCAAGAGCCCCGCTGTTGCCGGTCAGACCGGACAGGGACCGACTGTCGCAAAAGTCGGCTCGACTGGCTCCCCCGGTTGTCTTGGGTCTTCGAGAGAGACGCTCGTATAGAAGAAGCGCGGAAGTGGACCGACCTCGCTTCAAGAACAGGACCTACCTAGCCTCTGCTGGCCAAGAAGAAGGGAAGCCCGGGATGCGAAAGGATCCAGAGGCTGGTAGAGTCGGTATTCGGCAGACCGCGCCTCGGGGGGTTAAGCCAAGACTATCAATCGACAAGGAGATTCTGACGGCGGCAAGGATGACTATCACTGACGGCACCTCCCAGCAAGCGCCAACGCAACCAGAATGAGAGGTGAGGAGAGGTGAGGAGGGCGATGGTGAAGAAAAGGGCGTAGTCGAAGACAGAGAGACCAGAGAAGTTGTGTAGTGAGGGCAAGCAGCCGACGGTGAAGAGGAACGGTAACAAGACAGGAACCAGGAACAAGCCTAGCAAAGGGAAAGACTCAGTAAAAAAAAAAGTTTAGACCGGGGATCGCGTGGGGGAGAAGATGAAGGGGAGGGAGGGGTGGCGGAGCGAGCAGAATACAGCCCCGTCCAGTAATAAAGGATTGTAAACGAGGCCGGGCGATGGACTGTGAATAGGAGCGCGACCAGTGATGAGCAGTTGACGATGGTTTACTATCGGAACTTCAAGAGGAAGAGGCTCTCTAGACGAGGACATTAAATTTTGCCATGGCCTCTAGGATTGTCCCCAGGTTGGGACTCGTAGTGTGTAGCATCATAGACAAAGTCTTGCTTCGGGTCTCGTCCCCATGCTTTTATGTGTACTCATACTCCGTAAGTCAGCTAGAAATTGGGGAACTTGGTAGAGACAGGGATCGGTCGACGTGGAGACAGGGGTTATTCGTATGCCTCGTAGTCCGTAGACTGTACGTACTGTAGTAAAGGTAGGTACGATTTACCACGTTACTCTGTAGTGCTATGTAAGTACGAGTACTTGTACTCTCCACCTAAGCTGGCTAGGGTTAAGTGATGATGACATGGGGACGGGTTGTTAGTTCAGGCCCCATCAGCATGGCCGCGACTGGCCCTACCCTGCGACTATGTCGTAAAAGGACCCGTACTCTGCACGCATAAGTACTCCATCGGTAGTGTATTATCGTGGTAGGCGTGTCTATTTTTCGTAGGACAGGTACCCACCAGTCTGGTTGCTGGACAGGTGATGAATGACGATGGACTGCCGTTGGCGCCGAGTTCGGTTCGGGCAAGGTTTTTTGGACCTGTCCTCCCCCCCCCCCCTCTCTCCCCTTTTTGCTGTTCCTTCTCGAGATATTACCTTGCCTTTTTCTTCCCTCGTCACCACGCACAAATTGTCGACGAGGGCCGATCAAAGAGTTGTCAACAGGGTGTAGACCTCTCGTTAGCCAGAATAGACGCCGTGTCAATGTCGAGTCAGACTCCGGTAACAAGCATGTCTTTTCTTCTTCTTTTTTTTTCAATGACCATCAGGAGGATCGAATGGCCCACGCCTCGAGGAGAGTGAGGTGGAGAGAGATGTGGTCGTTCTGGTAGAGAAAGATTGTACTGGTGGTTGTAGATGAGAGAGGTATGGAGTACTCACGTAAAGGATCTGCCGATGGGTGGTGCTCGGATCTGCGCCCAGGTTTTCAATAAGCTGTCAGCTATTATTACTACCAGTAATTCATGCAAGTGCGTCTAGTCAATTGAGTAACACACAACATACTATACTGGTATGAAGTAATAGTGGTCAGCCTACCCAACGCTAAAAATAATACGTCGTAATAATCATACCCGTCGCGCAGTCCTCTAGAACGCACACACAGAGTACGTAGGTAGTCAAAATCCATACATGATTGCAGGATGCTGCTGCAGATGGCTATTTGTTGCAAGGGGCGCAGGCGGCCCCTGTCAATGAAAGAAGAAAGGTAGAGAGATAGAGGAGCCGTGCCTGAGAGTGAGCACAGTCTCGATGCTCAGAAGCATGCCACACAAAGACTGGGGACGTATGTATGAGAGAGAGAGCGAGAGCACTACACGTATGGACAGTCAGTCAATCGTATGCGTGGTAGCGTCAGAGGGGAGGGTGGGTAGGGGCGGTCAGCAGGTGGCTAGGACTCGAAAGGAGCTCCAAGGCCCAAAGCTAAGGGACTACGAAAACCCCTTTCTCCTCTTCCACGAGGGCGGCGATATGGATTGGGCCTCTCTGCACTAGAGCAGTGTAAGATGGGGTATGCGTGGGAACCACAGCCCACTCTTGTCGACGAGGGGTCCATGGAGCAGCTGCCACGAGGAGCGAAGGGGGGGGGGGGGGGCGGATCTCAGGGAGGGATGGGAGAAGAGGGAAGAGAGAGAGTATTGCCTACCAGCATGCTTGCTTGGGCTGGGCCCAGCTGGCTGGCTGGCTAGTTAGCTGGACGGACAGTCGGTCGGATTGATAGTCGTGTTGCTGTTCGCCATGGCCTGCCACGATAGAAAGAATAACATGGCATGCCGCTACAGCAATAAGCAGACCTCGCAGAGAGCCGAAGCTTCATGGGTGGTGCCAATGCGGACGACGTGGTACTGTATGCATACCCAAAGCGACGGGCAGCCAGCGGGGCAGATGTCCATACGCATGATGTACGTACTGATGGCACACTATTCCGTAGTAGAATATGTGATCTACCGCCGACGCTGGGACAGGGCTGTTTGTCCCGGTGCTCGTAATGACAAGTACGCTGTAATACTGCCAGTATTACGGAGTATACTGGCAAGGAATTATGGAGCTTTCACCGTATCCTAGGAGCACTTTCTGCTCTGGTCTGGGAGTGAGAGGGAGCGAGAACATAGTCTGAGAGCGGGGAGGCAGGAACCTGTTGCGCGTTGGCCGCCCGCTCTTTCCTATTTCTTTTTTTCTTCGCAAGCCCCCACACCGTCTTGATGGGCCACCACAATCACCTACTTTCGATTTGATTTTAATGAACGGCCATATCATGTTGCAGGGTGTAATAAAAATGGTGGTGATGGATACCACCCCCGTAATAATAACATGTTATGATTTCTACAGCCATGATAACTTTAGATACGACGTAGTAATTCCCTTGCGCATCTCGAGGGGAGGGGGAGGGAGGGATAGGGAGGAAGGAGCAACGACCATGGGGGGACTTGAGATGGAAACTGTCCACGATGGGGAAAGAGCGACCTTGAAGTTGACGGGTGCCGCATGTCACACAGGCGAAGCCATGTGCGACCTGCCAGGGGCCCCCGAAGCCACAAGACTCCCGTCGTATGGCGAAGTCTAGTCGTAAAGACCAACTGCCGGGGCCTTCAGGGCTGTAGTACCCGCTATAGTATTATTGCCATGTATGTACGTTGCGGCCGAGTGCTATACATTCAGTAGCAATGCACCGCCGTGTTACTGTCGTACGGGTACAGATTACAGCGTACATGTACGTACAATACCATGTCGCCACAGTACGGAACCAGAATTACGGCGTGATATGATGTCTCCTGTCGCGCGACCACTGCACATTTCGGCGTAAGGCAATCAGCGGGGAGGCAGGAACATGTTCAACGCACGCGACGCACGGGCTGCAGGTGTCGCATGAGGCACTCTTTCCCTATTTCGCACTTCCCGTACGGAGTACTAGTACTCAAGTACATGTAATATGTAGTAGGTGCCGCCATGGTTGTAGGCTACGCCCATCCTCTCTAGTGAATCCGTGATGCAGCAGCATGTTGATGCTCGTACTTGTCGCAAGGTAGCTTTGGCTGTCATCAGTCTCGTATTATACCCGTCACTATCTACATCTGTATCTCATCTCACATTGCATGTCTAGTAGTAATACGAGCATGAAGAGTAAAATGATTTTCACCGCAATGCGACTCAGCTCATGTTGCTACTAGTACTGATACCTCTCTCTACGAGTAGTATATGTATGAGTACTACCATCCTTCCTCAGTACTTTTCATGCCAAGTTTAGAGACCTTCAAAAAAGCAATTACAGGAACCGCCAACACCACGAGTACGGGTATTACTAATAATACCTGACTAATATTGAGCTACAGACTACTAGGTATTGGTACTACTGGTAGATATAGCCGCAGCACTGCTAATATCATCAGCTACAGGCTACAGGTTACCTACTTCCACTGAGCTACCAAGTAGTAATCAACAGTAGCAGCCATTCAGATTACGTAGCTCGTACCTGCCGCATGTACCATCTCGACCTACGAACGGGTACACCGCTCCCGTCGTTGGTAGCATCCCAATGCATGCAGCAGCGTCCTCCAGGGCAAGCCATGCGTAAGGTAGGCCGTAGTGTAGAGCCTTGCCTCCCTCTTCCTCTCTCTCTAGTCCTTCTCATCGTTTGGGTCTTACCACCACGAGTACGGGCACCCAAGCCGCTTGCTCGTCACCAAAAAGCTGCGAGTACTCGTCCGTACATGTACGGCTATATAAGTATGGAGTGAACACCAACACTATAAGTGGTGCCCCCCCCACCTG